TTACATTTAGACTGAGTCTCACTAGTTGTAGTTGTCCACCTTGTAACAGGATAAGTCCCATTATATTATTTAGAATAGTGGTTTAGTATATTTACGATAATATAGTGGGAGTAGCATTAGCAGAAGAAGGAAGTGAGACTTGAGATGCAAGGGGCGGAGACCATATATTCTCTCTCTTTGAATCCAGATACGCCGATCTTTCACAGAAAGAATCGCAAGGATTTGAAAGCGAGTTCTCAAACCTAAACCTATTTACACAGAAAGAAAATAGTGAACTGGGACTGGTTTTGCCTTCCCTATGCTAGCTTTCGTGCTCACCTTTCCATGCAAAGTGAAATTCTTAATAAATAGAAATTCTATCTAAAAGAAAGGTCATCCTATTAAAATAAAAGGGGTTCGGCAAAGGCTAATGCTGACAGCGACTAATGCCATCCTTGCTTTTCCCAACTAGACTTCACAACGTGAGCACTCTTTACGTGATAGGGGCTACTTTGTTGATTCACCATACTAGGCTAAGCTCAAAGCTTTCCCCGGAGCATCTATTTATTTGCCTCTTTCCTTCCCCGTCTGTAGTTTCTGTCTTCTTCAATAATAAGTACCGCCTGAAAATGAATTATCATACACAATCCTGCTCCTTAAACAACTGATAGCATACTAATGCTTTCTATTGGCAGCTCCCTGGAGGGAATTGTTTCTCCGTGTGATAGCCCCGCAGGGCAACTGTAGCTAGTATTCCTGGTATGAAAAGCTCACTGTATGAACCTAAGATACCTTGAGAGTTTATTAGATAGGCCCTACTTGAGCTCCTTTAATAACAACTGTTTGTTAGTAGACAATCTTGTTATAGATATGCAAAGTAACTCAATAGCCCCCTCCTTAGAACGGTTTGGGGAAACAGGTTGAGCAATGTAGGGAGTGTACAGCTTCACGAGGGCTGCCTATCTGCTTCCTCTCACCTCTGCTCAGCAAACACGGGTTGGGGCCCTCTTCAAGTGAGTGACTTCCCTGGTGGAAGTAATAATGAATGATAACAATAAGGACTACCCTTTTACAACTCCTTAAGCTACTGAAAGCAGTGAAGTGACCAATTGGTTGTAAGTGAACCTCTTGTTCTTCGATTTTTCTTTAGGATTAGCAACATAACTACTTACCTCGTGCTATCCGACCCTCGCTTGGGTACTTAGGATATGAATAAGACCTTGTTTCCTCGGAAGAAGGTACCTCCTTCTAGTACTGACTGAGAGTGTAGGTACCCCTCTTTATATGGGTACCGAATGTTAGTAAAGTAAGTCTTAACGCCCGCACCGGACTTCCAATATGAATGAACTCTTCCTATGGTTGGTTATCGGGATCCCTTTTCTCTTTTTATTTAGTCTTTATTAGGTGGTTGTTTCTCACCCTTTCAAGGGTGATTCTGTGATATGGATTCTTCTTTGGTTTGTTGAGCTAATTCTTCATGTTGAGCGAATTCTTCTTTTAGTCTTTTTATTTCGTTTTTCCATTCATTCATCATTCCATCATCTATGGTCTTCCGTTTATCTTCATACTTCATTTTACTTTTTTTTCTCAATCTTCTTCATGTGGAGTGGATGAAAGCGTCGTTGTGCTTGCTTGATGGGCTTAGCATCTGGTTTGATATTAAGCCTGTGGACGGCGATGTCAGGGTCTAGCCCAGGCATCTCAGCCTAACTCCAGGCTAAGCCCAAGTATTCATTCCTTAAGGAGTTGGATGTATTGTTAAGCTTCCTATGAAGCTAGGCTGGCACTTAGGAAGATTGGACGAGGGTAGAGGGGGCACATCTGGTGGTATCATATATATATATAAGAGAGAGCTTCTTTTAAGAATGATCTAAAACTAAAAATTTCATAAGAGAAGAAAGAAAGTAGCCTAGTTCAGATGAAAAGGTATGCCACAATGCTATCCGAGTTCACAAGTGTCGTTCCGTCTACTTTTCTTTCCAAACTTTTTCAAAGTTCAGTTTGTATACTCCAGAGGAAGGTGGCTGCCATGAAAGAGTAGATTCCTCTGAGACATGGGGAGAGGTGAGCTCCTGAGAATAAGAAAGAAACTTTTTTAGCACTAACAACCTTGAAGTCACCTTCTTCCCTCCTGCCCGGAAGCTAGAATTGGTATCAAACTCTTTCATTCAAATGAGTGAAATTCTTGTTCTGGAATGAATCAAGAATCAAGCCATTACACAGAACAGCCATAGATCGAGGTCAAGTCGGGCGAGGAGGCCAACGACTGTCTCATTGCTTCTTTGCCGATGACTTCATTTTGTTTGGTAAAACCTGAGTGAAAAGAAGACATCCCCTTATCAACTAAGAATCCGTCACAAGTGAACCACTGAATGAGCTTACACAGCTTAAGCAAGAGATCCAATATTGAATAAGAAAGTGGATGATAAGGGCTTCCATTCTAAAGGCTCTTTCTCTCTAGCTGAAAGGCTCTCGCAGTAGTTGTTTTGTAAGGGCGCGTGAGAAGACGGTGAAAGGGTATTGAGCTAGAATGCTTATACAGGGGAACGGGGCTTCTAGATAATTAGAGGGGCTCGCTTGGCAGAGTGTCGAGCATTGTTCGTCGTGCTAGTTCCGCTACTGCAGTTCCCGTGGTAAAGGAAACCTTCTTTCTCTTGCTTTCGGGCTTACTAAACGACGGGATAATCAACTAGATCGATTCTAAACATGTGATTTGTAGCTAATTCAGTAAAAAGAAGAACTTATTCTTTGACTATTATGATATCTGCACTGCAGCGAATTCAATGGCCTTGGTTGGCACATTCTTGACTTGAAAAGAGAGAACTAAACTAAGAAGATGGGCCTTAAGCCTGCTGCATCGCCTTGACTTGATTCGGGTCAGTCTAAGTCAAAGTAAGGACTTTGCTTTGCCGGGGTGAAGAACTCCGAATACCTTTCCCTTTCATCATTCCAGTAAGCCCGTAAGTAAGTGAATTGTTGGTATGCCATATTCTTAATAGCAAGCATAGAAGCAGGAAAGCCGGAAAGTCATGTTAAAAAGCTTTCTGTAGGAGAGGTCGTAGAAGACTGTGCTGAAAGGTCTACAGAGTCAGGTTCAATGCCCATCAGCCTACCGGAGGCTGAGGATGAGCATGAACAGAAACCCGAAGCCAAAGGGAGAGAAAGGAGGGTAGGATAAAAAACAAGGACTTGAACTTGAGAATCACAACGAATTATATGCTTATCTGGTGGATGCGCGTCTTGGGCTGTTTGACCTCTAACTAGAAATTGAATATATTAAGAGAAAAAAGTTCTTTTTCCTAGAGTAGATGAAAGGAATGCTGAAAGGCTATCTGAGTTCACAGGCGTAGTTGCGTGTACTTCATTTCATTGAGATTTTGTTTGTGTTCCGTGTACCGGTAGAAGATCTAATATGAAATAATTCGCTTTGAGTTTGTTCTTTTTCATGTCTTGGCTCACAGTTTATCTGAATTAGACTAAGAGATTGGCATCAACAAAGCAAGGCCACATTGAGCTTAGCCTAGAGCAGATCGAAAAGGTCTCGCGAAGCCGGGAACCCCTTGCCGAAAATCCTTCTCTTTCTCTTTCACTGGCCTATAATCAATCTTTCCTTTGCTTGCCTAGATTGCCTTCTCTTATATAGGATAATTATCGTCTTGTCCGAATCGAATCTATGCCATCGTCGACGATTCACTGTCAATCTGAATAGTCAATTGAGCCGCTCGAACAAGAAAACCTTTCGAAAAATGACTTCTCACCTCCCGTATTCCATTCCCCCAGTCTATCTCTTTTCCGCTTTCACTGGTATTTGTGATTGGTCTTTCTTGGTTTTATTAGTGTTCATATCTTTTTCTCATTAGCTAAAAAAGAACTGGCTATGCTGCTTTCTTTCATAATCATAATATAAGAGCTAGACTAATAGATTCCATTAGCCAATAGTAGTTTCCTAGTCTATATCCCCAAAATCTATTTAGCGCATCTTTCTTTCTTCTGGTAATGCAAATGGAAATTCTCGTTATGATGGATCATCTCGCTATTTCTATTTCTTTGCAGTTACTGGTTGGTGGATAGGGCACTTATCCCCGTCTTATTTCCTGTAAAGAAAGATCCTGCTCTTGAGCAATACAGTCCTACCGTCCGACTTCCCTTCCAGCTCTTCTTGTTCGATACCGCTTCCCCCCTTGTCAATATAAAAACTTACCGCTCTTATTCTTATGTATCAATCGGTCGAGCTATATTGGTCAATTGTAGGAAACTGGCCAATTGCTGTCAACTGGTATCAACCACGAATCTTTTGTTTCCTTTTTTACAACTGGCCTGGTCTTACTTAAACTGGAGTTCGCTAGCTCAATCAGTGCACTGGAGTTCCGTCCTTTAAGCCAGGGAAGCGCTCTTCGGGCGGAGGTCCAATTTATCTCGAAGACTTTTTGTAGAAAGAAATCTTCAATCACAATCAACCAATCATCATATAATAAATAATAGAGATGAGGTGGTTGAAGGGCTTACCTCGGTACAGCAAGGCGGGAACCCAGCCGATCGAGAAATGTGTGTCACAAGTTGTATGCTTAATGCAAGTCGAACGTGATTTTGCGGGGAAAATCTAAGCTTAGTCAAGAAAGGTCGGCCTTTCTTTGTTGTCTAATCGAAAGCCTAATTCGCGATAGATGACTGGGCGAGAGAGAAATGTGGGTCGTGGCAAAATTGGGTTTGAATCCCATAGCCCCAATGTGGCAGCGGTTAGTTTCATTGTCAATCATATCATGTCTCAACTGGTAGAAAAGCTATTCCAACAATTGAATAATGAGCCGATCCTCCTTTTTTATGTAGTCGCACTAGGCCTATTTATCTATATTCTAAAATTGTTCCAAGAGTACAAAAAGACGGTAAACGACGTCTTGGAGTACAATAAAAAACTTGGAGTTTCGATCAAATTCTCATATAGTTGGATTCACGGTGTGAAAATAGAACTGCTGGAAAATAATATGCAAAAGATAATTCCAACACCTAACAACAACAAAGAAGAAACTCTTAAAAAAAAGAGAGTAAATAAAAAGAGAGGTGAAGTGATACAAAAGTCACTCTGTTTGGTTTTTTAGTTGATCTATAAGAGGAGAGCATATGAAAAACGTAACCGATTCTTTCCTTTCTTTGGGCCACTGGCCATCTGCTGGGAGTTTCGGGTTTAATACCGATATTTTTGCAACAAATCCAATAAATCTAAGTGTAGTACTTGGTGTATTGATCTTTTTTGGAAAGGGAGTATGTGCGAGTTGTTTCTTTCAAGAATAGGCTGGACCAACCAGCTGTATCCTTTAGTTTTCAGTTTTCCTTAGAACTAGGAGAGAGGGGTGCATGATCTCGCGAATTACTTATGAATCAATTAATCAATTCTCTCTAAGAACCATAGCATTTTGTGATTTATTGGTAAATCTACTTCGATTCTCTCTCAACCAATAATGTGGGACTATTAACATGGTTAAAGCAAACCGTTTGAAGTCAAGACACTGCATGGTACTCTTTCTATCACTATGTTCATTATAGAGATGTTTTCAAAATGAATATTTTCTCGATATAGGATACTCATGGTTTAAAAAAGGATGACTAAGACAACTTCCATTTCTGATTGATATACATAGTAATTTTATCCAATATGGAATTCACGGTGATGCTTTCTATGCTGTTATGAGGTTCTGGGTGCAGTAAGTAGTCCGTTTGTGTGTAGGTGGGGTGGTGAATGACCCCCGGATCTAGTCTTCTTTCTCCCATGATTTCCGTTGGTCAACAACCAACAAAAACTCACTAGAATTCTGAACTACTCGTACAATAAGGACTCTCTTTCTGTCTGGAGGGAATCATTTGTTGTCAAGCATATCATGCCTCAACTGGATAAATTCACTTATTTTACACAATTGTTCTGGTCATGCCTTTTCCTCTTTACTTTCTATATCCTTGTTAGGTTCTATCTCCCTTCGGATTTCGAAGTGAGAGTCTTTTGCTACTATCTAACAAGGCCCAAGTTACAGCGGGCTCTTTCTCTTATGAGAAGGTAGTGTGTCTTATTTCTTGATCCGTTTTGTGTGTAGAATCTATTATAACTTCTTTTATGGGGGTTTACCTAATTCCATATTGGGTATTCTCCCGTCTGAACTAGCGCTGCTAGACCACTATATGAATCAGCCGGATCAGGATCCAGAATGGGTGGAATTCGTACGACAGCGCCTACAAAACCAGGGACTCTCACCCAAGGAGTACGAGGTCATGGTGCGAAATTTCCTGGAAACTGAGTTTTGTTTTACAACTCGTGACAAGATTTCCTCTCTCTATCAACTCATTTTTTATGGTCGGGAGGATCCCCAATTCTTCATTGATCCACAAGACCTGGATTCCATACTGAGCGTACACCTCGAACCCTTAGAATTCAATCACCCTGCTCTATGCCAGGTCTTGCAAAGCTTATGTAACGAGGGGCAAGAATCCCCATTCTATTGGGAAGTAAAAACGACCCAAGCAGAGCATTTCCAGGGCTTTTTAAAACAAAAGCACCTAGCCCGATTGGATATGCAACATCGTCGAGACTTATCCACTTAATGGGAATCTCTTGAGAGAAGGAACGCTTTTCTAAGCGAGGAAACTGCCTCTCTAAGAGAAAAACTTTTTATTCTCGACAGGGAAGCCCCATAAAATTCTTTTTTGTTCATTACTAAAATGAATCGAATCCTATCAAATATTTAGATTTATCCTTTGAATTACTCATATATATCCTATGAATTTAATTTCGCATCGGAAACTATTCTAGGAGAAGTTCGAATCCATTCCGTTCGGATATTGATTGGTCTTGGTTTTACATGGTTTACGTGTTACTGGTTCCCGGAAGAGTTAATATCTCCATTAGCTAAACCCCTTCTTACCCTGCCTTTGGATTCGTATTTTGTTCGTACACAATCAACTGAGGCCTTCCCGACATATGTTGCAACGTCTCCAATAGCATGTTCTTACTTCGTCTTTCCCTTAATAAGTCATCAAATTTGGTGCTTTTTGATCCTCAGATTCTATGGGGAACAAAGGACGAAATACAATCGATTCCTCCATTTAAGTGGTTCTCGCTTCTTCTTGTTCCTGTTCCTAACTCCTCCCCAGGTAGTTCCCAATGTTTGGCACTTTCCATACTTCATGGGTGCAACATCAACAAATTCGCTCATGATCAAGCTACAACCTAAGATCTATGACCATATTATGTTAACTATTCGTATTTCGTTCATTCCATCAGTATGCTCCCAGGTACCTGTAATTGTGATCCGTTTGTCAGAACCAAGGGGTCTTTCTGTAGAAACCTCCACGAACAATCGTCAGTTTTTGATGGTTTTTCCGCTTCTCACAGCTGCTCTTTCCACACCTTCGGATATCTGGTGCCAAATTGTCGCTTGTTTCCTTATTTCTTTGATAATAGAGTTTGCTATCTTTGTGGCATCGATTGTACAAGTTCGTGAAGAAGGCTGGACGAGTGGAATGAGGGAGAGCGGCTCGATCCTCAAAAAATAAGAGTAACCTCCCTAGAACCTGGCAAAGTCATTATCAATGAATTCCTGAGCAATTCTCAACCAACATATGCGATTCATTCCCTTTATGTACATGAAGAGTTCAACAGAAGTCATCTCTCTAGCTTTAATCACACTTTCAATTTCTTGCTTTTTGGCTTCTTTCATCAAAGATAGGTGTGAGTTAAAGACTTTTCTCGCTAAACCTGTCTCTGATCTTCTCTACTTTTTTGGCTGCTTTCTTTCCTATGGGTGTAAGGTTCCTAATGTTCTAACTCAGAAAGTATAGTCATTCTCTCTTCCTGACCCTTCGGCCAAGCCGCTTTTTCTGTTCATTGGATTGATAGCTTTTCCCTCTCCCCAACCGCTGTCATGTCCCGCTACGCTAGTTCTACTGTGATTTCCTTCCTTGGCCTAAGAAAGAAGGCTAGTAACTTCCCTTATTCATAGGGGCATTTCTATCGAGTAGTCACTCTTTCTGTCCTGACTTGGGAATAAAACCGATGGTCAATCTTTCCATGTCTTGAGAGGTTTCATTTCAGGTTAAGAAAGGGATCTTCACTCTAATGCTTTTATTCCTTCAGCTTCATATAGGTGAATTATTGGTTCTTTTCCTCTCTTTCCCTCTTGCGAGCTTCCTTTCGGAGTCGACGTCGGGACGCCCTTTCTTGCTGATGGTTAGGTTCTTCCTTTTTGACCCATGCTTTGGTTGAGGAGAAAAACCTTGTTCATAAACAACAATACCCCTAGCTTGGAAATGCTATATTACCGGCTGGCAGGTTTTTACGTGAAAAAGACCCCCATCCGCAGTCTCTGGTCTAGCAGGTATTTCTTCCTATTTTGCTTTTGTCTCAGCATATCTTTCATCCGCAGAGGATTCTTCGCCCCTTCTTCAACATCAACCCTCGTAAGTAGCAGAGTCCCGTCAGTTCACTTCCTTGAGTTCTTAGTCGAGTAAGCCTACCAATAGCGGGAGCAATTCCAGTTCAACCGAAACTACTGCTGCATAAAGGGCAGGTCCAACGACACAAGACCTCCTATTGAGAAAAGAAAAGGTAAATACTTAGCATCCTAATAAGCTTTCCAGAGAATAATGTGTTCAAACCGAAGCTCCTAGATCAAAGGCATAACTTGGGTCTACTGGTCTGACATCGCTCCTAGAATTGGATCCGATCCTAGCCTAGCTTAAAAGAAGTCGTTACGCGAGAAGGTGTAGGTGCTGCTCGATCGAGCCAAGTAGTCCCTTTCTGCTCATAGTAGCCTTTACTACTCATAATGGCCAATACCGCTTCAACTAGAGTTTCGTATTCTACTTTGGAAGTGAGTGAGTCAAGATCTGCAAGGACTGAACCGAGCTTCCTCCTCCACTGATCGAGTTCACTTACGCTTTCCCTTCTTCATCTCAAGGTTTTGTAACTTATTATAAGTAGCTCCCACATTGGTTTCATTATGGGTCTGAAGCCCTGCCCTTCTATCTTTCCCAGGAGCTAATTCCGACATATCTCTCTATTCGAATCAAAACTTCCTCTGTTTGTTGGAAAGAAGTCCGCTCTTCGGTCATCTATAATAGAAGCGAAGCAGCTACTGTAGACAGGACTTAGGGGTAGGCAAGAGAGGCTGGCTTCCAGCGAATATGATGCACCTTCTTAGTCGACTGAAGGTCATTGTAATACACATCGCGTGCTCAAATAAGTGGGTCCAGCCCCTTAAGTGATCTAGAGTGCCATGGCTGAATCGTCCTAAGTGTTCAATATTGTGTTTCGTTGGACCAAGAGGTGTCTTGTGTGTTCCTCGGAACTATCTTGATTTTCCCCGTTGATAAGCATGCTAGTTTGTTGTCTAACTGCTAGAGTTTGTGTCATGTTTGTACGTTCCGTTTGGTTGATGATAACTTGTGTTATTCATCGGTGATGTTGTTGGGCTGTGACCCGTTCCTTGATTGAGTATTTTTCATACCTTCGTTGTGATCCGTTGCTTGACTCTTGTTGAGTTGTGGTGCGTGTGTGGCTTTACCTGGATTGCACGATTAGTGGTATGGGACACTAGTCACCAAGGTATTGCAGCGGTCCTCGTGGTGGCCGTGACGTGATTATGGAGTTGTGGTCTTTGTGTAAGGTTCACGTTTTTGGGGGATAACATGTGTTATCCGGGCATGTGTTGCCGTGTACGGTACCTTGTGTATTATGAATTGGTGGTCTCGTTGGTGGTCGTTGGTGGGGGACGACGGTCCCGGGGGAATAAGGTTGGACTAAAAAGTACAGGGGTCCTGGAGGTAATGGTTGGAAGAAGATATAAGGTTGGGGGTAGCCATAAGGTTGGAACAGGGCATAAGGAAGGCATAACAACTCGTGATAGGTGATGTTGCGAGGGCTTGTAAAGCCGGCGTTGTATATTCTTCTCTCGTGACGTGTGTAGTCACGGAGGCATGTGTTGCCGTTGGGTGAGTCTTTATCCTTCGCGTTGTGGTTAGCCTTTGTGGTTTGAGATGTGTTCCCGTGTTATCTTTGAGAGTGATGAGTCTTGTGTTGACTGTTGATCTTGATTTTGACTTATATATATATATATATATATATATATATATATATATATATATATATATATATATATATATATATATATATATATATATATATATATATATATATATATATTCCGTTTCGAAAATGGTTTTACACCTTATATCTTTCTATGTATGATATTTCACATGTATTGGTGGGTCACCAGCATTTATCGCGCTGACCGGGCGTCGTCCCAATGTTTATCTTTGTATCTTTCAGGTGATGTTTAGACGAGCGCGATGTCTAGTTCCTGGTAGCTTAGTACCCCCATCCTTGTTTTGTGGCCTGTGCGCCAATGTAGTTTAGACTGATGTTTTTGGGATAGATGTATACACTTACAGATTGTTTGCCGTAGCGTTTACCGTGTTTGGTAGACGTGGCGTGACACCCCGTTCGGATTTCCTTTATCCAGTTTTCGTTTTATCTTCCGCTTTGCTAGTTTTGTCGTTTAATCTGCATGTGTTAAGGCTTTTATATAGGTCTTGTTTGGGGGGTGCTACAAGTTCATCACGGAAGAAAGGACTCACTAAGTCGGGATCACTAACTAATACTAATATAATATCTAATAGAATAGAATAGAAAAGAACTGTCTTTTCTGTATACTTCCACCGGTTTCGTTGCTACCACGGGCTTTACGCAATCGATCGGATTAGATATCCCTTCTTCATCTCAAGGATCTCGGAGAACCACCAAAGTATGGCTGCGTTAGCGCAAGAGTTTTCTTGGTCGCTTTCAGTTTGAAAATGTGTACGTAGCTTCCTTGTACAAGAGCTCTCTCTCTGAGAGCTTGAACGGGAAGCACTCTCTTTGTCCCTCCGCCTCTGTATCTGACCCACCACCCTTGCTTAGCTTGAAGCTTGCTCTGGCTTGGTCTAAACCTACCTACCTTGAATGGCTTGTTTGTGAGTCCCTACTGTAACACCCCGTGTTACGGCCTTCAATCCCAGATTAATTATTTAATTAATCCCGTTAATAATAATTAAATATGATTTAAATTGGTTAAGTTTCCCTTTAAATAATTAATAAGGTCTACCATGAATCGTGGACCCTTGCCTAAACTAGAGTTTTAAGCCTATTAGGAATAAAGAAAGTAAACCTTTTACTAGTCAGATTCTAATTAAGAATCCTAGACCTATTTATCTATTAAGAATAAAGGAAGTAGGCCTTTTACTATTCAGATTATGATTAGGATCCTCTTTAATTAATTAATATGGTCCACTATGGACCATGGACCCTTATCCCTAAAACAAGTCCTTAGTCCTATAAGGAATAGGATTAGTAAACTCATACCACTTAGACCCTAATTAGGGCTCTTAAATATATAAATAAGGTTATAGAAGGTACCAAGATCTTACACCACAATAATCTCCCACTACACAAGAAGTTCCAAGAATCCCCCTAGGAGAAATCAAAAAAAGAAGGAATCTTAAAGAAAGACCCTTCATAGCCAAGGAAATTAATTAACGCTAAGAGGTAACCCATGTCTCAACAAAACCTATTTTCCTTGCTATAATTATCTTCTTTAGCCTCCTCTCTATACTTGTGTCTTGTTAAATCATTTATGATATTGATGATGAGTTCTTGATGATTATGAGATGATTCTATGTGTGATATTGATGATCTTGATGATGATAAGAGATTCTTGATGATTATGTGATGTTCTTGATGAATCTTGATGTTTGATGATTAAAAGAGGAACTATGATTTTATTGATTTGAATATGATTAGAGCCCTAGGTTAAAATTGGGAATTTCGTATTGTGTTATTCTTGATATAATTGGGTGGAATTTCGCATGTTCGGGTGTTGATTATGTTTATAAGTCATGATAGGATATGTGCTATATGATTCTTGCTTTTGATCCGTTAATTGTCTACGTGGTGTCATCAATTGCGTCTAAAAGTGTCTAAGCATGGTTCGGGTTCCATAACGGACCCCAGGACGTTTATTTTAATAAAGAGTCAGTGGGGGGTAGGTGGGGGTAGGGGGACTCGCCACCTACCCGCTGCCCGAGAAGGACATCGCTGGCAGCGGGCAGCCGGCGGGCAGGCGACTGCCCGCCGGGCACCCGCTGCCTGGAGACCTAACACCGGCGGGCATCCGGCGGGTGGTGCACCACCCACCGGCTACCCGCTGGAAATTATCCCAACTCGGGACTCCGGCTTCCCCGTTTGATGTTTCCCCGACCCTCGTGGTGTCCCAACGAACTCCGTTTATCGTGCCTAAGTCTAGATTGATGTTTCGGGTACCGTTCGTAGGATAAATGAGTCTTATATATCGCATGTTAGTTGAATTGGTATCCCGTTGACCTAGGTGAAAGAAGTATGAACCCCTTAGGATCATTCCTAGTTTGTGGATGACCACGCATAGGTTTCATTATACGTTTTCCCCCCTTTCCCAATGTGTTAATGTGGGTTGCATGTGCTTGCTATGTGTTATGTGTGCATGATACCCCAATTTGGTTGCGATCAAATTGGTTATTCCTGAGCTGCGGTTCAGAAGCTGGCTGCGATCAGAATTACACTCTCGGGCTGCGGTCCACCGTTTGGTTGCGATCAAACGTTTTACATGAGCTGCGGTTCATATTCCTGGCTGCGGTCAGATGACTACTCTTGGGTTGCGGTCCACTGTTTGGTTGCAATCAAACATTATGATGAGTTGCGGTTCATTGGTCGGTTGCGATCGACCCCTTCGTATTGCGATACGAGGCAGGGTGCTGCGGGGCCGTGTCAGAGCTATATGCGCTGACCCTCATGTATGTGCATGCGATTGGTCCTGTGGCGCCTCGAAAGTGTGCTTGTGTGTGGTGAGATACGAATTGGGATGATGATATGAATGAGATGAAGTGAATCTGTGACCATAGGATATATGCTAGTAACTCTATATGCTTGATTATAACTGTTGAATGTGTTTATCCCTATCTGTCGAGTCTATTTTTGGTTTTAAAAGCTAGCGTCTCTTAAGTATATATCTTCCTGCTTCAAAATGGTTTTAATATATCTATATATATATATATATATATATATATATATATATATATATATAAAATATATATATGTATATATATATATATATATATATATATATATATATATATATATATATATATATATATATATATATATATATATATATATCTAATGTATTTCAACGCGTTGGAGTGGGTTACCAGCATCTCTCGCTGGACAGATATATTTGGCTTTCAGGCACTGAAGAGTAGACACTGGAGCGCGCCAGAGATTCGGAGCATAGAGTAGATAGTTTCCCTTTTTGGCCTGCGTGCCATGCTTGCGTATTTACATTATTGAAGATATTAGTTAGTTAGCCTGTGCACCTGAGTTCTCTAGCTCAGGTGTGGCATAGCACCCCGTACTCTACTATATTATGTTTGGGATTTAATGAGAATTCACCTTTACTATATAAGTCTTAAAAGTTTTAAAATTTCGGGGTGTTACAGTTGGTATCAGAGCCTAAGTTTGACCCTAGGATAAGACCTTTAAGACCGGACTTTAAGACAATAGGCTTGAACTCTAGGTATTTAGGAACATAGGACTCAGGAATCTTAGGACGCGCGGTGAGATTGTGAAACCTACACATAACCTCCCCTCACTTTATCCCTCCCTAATTTAAAAGAACTCCCCCTATGCTTACCACACCAAGGTAAGGATGCAGCACACTGACTCATCATTACAATGAATATTGGCCCTGAAAACCAGCAGCATGACGCCAACAAGAAGTCAGTCAAGGACCCCACACTCCTCGAAAAATAGATCCGAACCTTCAACAAAATCCTCGGGTTAGTGGAATGCCCAGAGGAACGCCGCGTAGAGATAGCCTCGTTCCACTTCAGACACGAGGCCGATCTTAGGTAAATCCACGAAGAACCCACTTATGGGCAACAACCGGGGGTTCAACTGGGAATGCCTAGGAGCACGGCTACGAGGGCGATTCCACCCTGCACCCGTAAGGGCAACCATGTACGAGGAAATTCTCCACCTAAAACAAGGGATGACCACCGTCAGGGAATACCACAAACAATTCCTCCAACCGGCTCGTTTCGCACCCGAATTAGATCCTACAGAGACGACCAAGATAAAGAAGTCTGTGACAGACCACCAACTACGAAACCCACAAGGCCCTAATTGTAAGCAAACCCCAAACCCCTAACGAAGCCTACACCAGTGCTGTCGACCTCTATCGAATCCAACTTCTACAAACGGGAAATTCAGGAACAAACCCGAAAGAAGAAGTAACTGAAGTGGGAGACCACCTGTAAAGAGG